TAAAATATTTTCAAACCAATATTATTTAAAAGAAATTAAATTGTAATACTTTTACAACTTTTACAATTTTATTTGAACTGTTGGCAACTCTGGCAGCAACGGCAACAATTAGAGCCGGCCGGCTAGCCAGAGGAAAAAAAGATGAAAATAAAGGCAGTCAAGCATGAGGCAGCCACTGCGACTGCGAATGCAACTGCGTTCGGAGATTGCAGTTTGAACTGGTTTTCACCTGAGCTTGTCAACTGTATGGCAAGGGGCGGCAAGGGGTGTAAAGAGGGTTAGGGACGCGAAAAGCCGCTAGATTTGCCTAGAAATTGACTGGGATTTCAGATCGCCTTGGCGACCGAGATCGCTGAGACCGGAATACAGCAATGAGCATATTTATTGACATTGGCATGCAATTTAAATGGCCGCGACAGTTGCGCATTGAACATTTGCCAAACGGTTGGGCGAAAGTTGACAGTTGCGGTCAAAATACTAGGATATGTTACTTCATAAAGAGTAAGAGTAATTATTTCAATGTTCTTGCTTCGGTTAGTATCTCTTTTGGTAATAACTATTGTTGCCTATAGCTTAATATAGAATGTTAAGGAGACTTTAAAACAGAAGACAGGACAGAAGACACTTTTCGTTGCCTTGATTTGTTTGCAGTGTAAGCTTGTGTGTGTTTGCCTTTGGTGGCAAAGTTTGCCAAGAGCCTTTTGGGTTGGTCAAAGTATTAGCAAAGTTATTTGCCCGCAACGGGCCAAGCGACCGCAACAGCAGCAACATCAGGCGGCAGCAGCAGCAGCAGCAGCAACTACAACTGCAACAACAAAAGGCATCTGCAACACACACTGCAATTAACTTTGCGGTCAACAGCCACCCACTGGCCAACTGCCTTTGTGTGAGTGCCTTGGCAGTGTATTGGTTAGTGGAAAGAAGAAGCAGTGCCAGTGGCTTTGGCTGCTGATGCTGCGGTTGCCGCTGATGTTGCTGGTGTTGCTGCAGCTGATGTTGCTGCCGTCGTCTGTGATTAAAGGCCAAATGACAACAGCAACAAGCGGCTGAAAACGAGCTGCAGCTGCGTCTGCGAAGGAAAAGCGAATGGGAAATGCTCTTGGCAGTGTAAGTTTTTGTATGATTTTTTATATGTTTTTTCCAGAAAATACTTTTAGCATTTAAAATATTAATTAAGTAATATTTTATACAAAAATATGTAAATAATTGTAAAAATTCTTCTTAAAAAACCCTAAAACCGAAGGATGCATTTCAATTTCGATCACTAAGAACCTTGTCGAAATTCGTGACTATCTGAAAATTGTAGGGTATCAAGTTGGTAGTCCGGCGACATCGTCGTCAACTTCATTGCCTTTAGCTTGCAGTGCGTTGTATTGCATTGAAATGGGTGTCACTCTGTAACTAGCACATTCGCGATAATGATAATGCATAATAATAATGATGATGATGATGATGATCATGGGGCTGATTATGATGATTATGATGAGGCAAGCGACTCCTTCAAAATGCGGCATTCTCTCGCTGGCTCATCATCAACAGCAGCATCAGCATCAGCAGCAGCAACATCAACATCGGCGTCATATTGAAACTGGAATTTGAATCCGGTTGCCGGTTGTTATGAGGCATCCCCTTCTCTGCCCCCTCTACTTTACAGAGACCCCTGCTACCATGTCCACCTCCCTGCTGAAAATTTTGTTTGTGCCATGTTTATTAAATGCCATTAAAGCCATTTCTTCAGCCTTTGGCTTTTGCACTTTGAATAGGAACTACAGGGGGCATTTCGAGCCTCGGGGGACACGGAAGTGTGCGTCACACTGTGGGAGAGTTGCATTGTCAGCAGCAGCAGCAACTGCAGCAGCACTGCTCAAATGTCAAAAGGTACATCAGCAACAAGAACGACACGAGCAACACGAGCAACATCACCAACAGCTACGGCAGCAACATCAGCATCAGCAGCCAAGCGCAATCAGCAAATTGCATTAAATGACTTTGTATTGCAATTGTTGGCCCTCTCACTGATATATCTTTGAAGTATATACATACATATATATCTATATATATATGTCGAGTGAGCAAGGGAATCGCAGCTTTATCGGAGAAAGGGAAAGATTGAGAAAAGTGAAAGAACCGAGAAAGTTCGTCATATCTGTCACATGAATTAAACTTGGAAAAAAGCAAAGTTCAGTGCAAGTTTACAACATTAAGTTAGTCTAAAAACGAGCTAAACTTAAATCATTTAAAGAGAGGAGATTAAATTCAATGTTTTTTTATTATATTATCATAAAATCCGATGAATATTTAAGAGTTTTGGTCACAATAATCGATTAGCCAAGCGGCGAATCAGAAGGCATTAACTGACAGCTGGCTGACAGCCGGCTAAAAGCGTTGAATGAAAAATGTTTTTGTTTCTTTAAAACGGATTATCTTGTGAATTATATGACATTTGCCTAATTCCCCATGGGCTTTTCCACAAATCCAATTTAAGGTAGACCATCGCCCAGTTAGGCTTAAAATAGCTTAAGTCCGGACACCGCCTTTCCACTACTCATTTTCCTGGTCATTTTTCATTTGGTTTAATAAGCAATTTGATCGCTTGTCTTGACATTTACTGTTTACACATTTCTTCGTTCTTACTCTATTTTACACACACACACACACACACCACCTACACATCCACAAACAGTAAATACTCGTTGTAGTTGCCCATGAAAGACCGACCATTCCCCAACTGCCTGCATCAAGGGCAGAAAATCTGAAAATCTGTGGCGCACATTAAAACGTTTCACTTAATTAAAATCAACGGCAACACAGAAAAACCAACAACACCAACAACAACAACTGCAAAATGACCGCCCCCATATATAAAGTATGGTATTCCGTATAGTCCCCATCCTACTATATATATACAGGCGCTAATAGTCCGATGTGAGTTCGTGTGAGAGCGTTGAAAAAATATATATACAAAAAAAAAAAACTGAACAAAAAATAAGAATTCAGAGCACTGGCAAAGACGTGGCTCGAGAGCTTCCAGCATTTTTTCTACTTTGTGTGACTAACGACTTGAAATTGCGCTTATTAAGACTTCCTGATTCATAATTTCTGGCAGCACTAGCAACAACAGCGACGACTACACTAGCAATAACAACTATAGACAAGTGGCAGGTCGATGGGGTAACGAATTGGGGATACCCTAGCTTAGGACTTAATGAAGTTAATAAGAAATATACTAAGAATGCCTATAAAAATCTTTTTATAACCTAAACTAAAAATGTTATAAAACCATCTTTGTAATTGCAAAAATGTTCAACTTTGCTTCTGGTTTTTAAACAATGTTGCATGCAACATTTTAGCCTATTGCAGCTCATAAACTTTAGGTTTTTATAACTACTGCTGTAGGAATATAGTAGCTAGAAAAGGGCCATTACCATCTTAGACAAACTTGCTTAGAAAAGGTTTATAAATTATACCTAAAAGCTATTTTATGACCCTAAACCAGTATTATTACCTTTAATTTCTAGCACTTAAATTGGCGAATGATTCGCTTGCAAATAAGAATATTAAATGATTTTAATAACAATTTTGTAAGCAAGAAATATTGATTTACATGACATTAATCGAATTTCCAGGAATTAGAATTTAGAATGATAATTAAATGGTTTTCCCTAGACCTGCATTTAAGAAACAATGTAAAATGCGGATATACAAATCTTGTTGGGAAATACCATAAAAATGTTAAATATATTTCTATAAAAACGTTAATGCATTCCCCGATTTTTAAGAAGTTTTTTACACAAATTGTTGCAAAACTAAAAATTCCCCTTCAATGTCTATTTATATAGTTAATTAACTAATTTTACGATTTTTTAAATAGTTAGATGTGCTTTCACTTGATAAATTCCTCTATAACTTAATTTCCCAATAACTATTAAGCTAGAATTCTTATATCTTTGATACCCTGTATTGCCAGCAGAAATCAAAAGCCACCGCGAAGAATTTGCGGGGAATGCGGCGAGGGATTTGCTTTTCTCTCACTCCGCACTGGATTTTCCTCAATTTTTTATTTGCTTCACCTATTCTTTTTCGTTTTTGTTGTCTGGCTTTTGTTTTCGGTCTGTAACAATTTTTGTAATTTTATTAATTTTTTGTTTTGCCCTCCCCATGCCCAGCTCAGCTGAATCTCAGTGTCTTTTTCTTTTTTTATACATTCAGTTTTGGTTTTGCGGGCTGACTCGGCTTTCTTTCGATTGTCTTCCCCGGGTTTCACCTCCCCGCCCCCGAAACCGTTCCCCCCCTTGTGGCACTCATAATTTTGGAATCAAGGCGGATGAGTAGGGGGTGGGGCAGTGGCATGGGTATGAGATGAAATGTTGGTCATGCTGCGGGCAAGATTTTCAAGTGACACGAGCAGTTACCGCCACACTCACACAAGAGCAGGCCGCTTTGTGCATTAATTTGCTGGTGTGAAGTGCTAATCAATATATGTAGGCAGTGGCAGTGGCAGCGGCAGCAGATTAAGGAAATGCAATTTCCACAGCAACCAGCGGAGAAGGGCGAGTGGGAAAAAGTCACAAAGTCCCCCTAATTTATAAGTCAAACATGCCGGGGAATTCGAGAGGAATGTGTTCCCAGTCAAAGCAAAAGGGGGATCAATGACATTTTATGTGTTTTGCCAAAAGGATGGGTTAGGCAAATGTTTGGAATTTTAAATTAAAGCCATTGGCCTACATTTATAAATAATGAATCTCAATTTATAATTCAAATTGACATTTAAGGATAAACTTTAGGAATAGCTTAAGATGTCACTGTTGATATTTCTATAAAAGGTTTTTATCTATTTGATTTCTTTCTTGATTTTTATCATTTATTTAGTGTCCGAATTTCAAAATGCTTTCTTAATAGATATATATAATCTATTCCCTAATTTCGGTTTTTTATTTCAGATTTCTATTTTAACCCAATACATATATCTAATCACTTTTATACTCGTAAACAAGACTAACCTGGTGATCCATGGCGGTTGCGTGGTCCTTCGGTGCGCACGGCTAGCAGGGTTTCCAGGTTGCTGAGGGCCACAAGGGCCAGTAGCAGCAGCGCCAGGGTTGTCAACTGGCCGCGCTGGCGGTGGTGCTGTGATTGGTGGTTCTGCAGCAGCCTTGGCTCAATGCTGCTGCTGTGGTTCTGTGGATGGCGATCGCCGCCAATGGGCGAAGAGGATGACGGCACGGCGACCTCTGTGACCTGCAGCGGATCGGCGGCATGAGTGTCGCCAATGGCGGCGGGGTCAGAGGTCAGCAGGGTTGTCGTGGCCGGTGGCCGCCAGCGGGAACGCATTCTGGCCTTATTGGGCGGCTTGCGACCAAATCCGAATCCAATGCCCACGGGCGTCGGATTCATTTTTGGTTCGTTGATCGCTTCGCTGGCTTCTCCCCTCCTTATCCTTTGGTCTAAGGGTTAAGGGTTTTGGATTTTCGGGTTCTTTGGTGACCCTCTGGTAACCTCTTCTCCGCACACCGCACTTCTGTTTGCTTCGTTTTGTTTTTTAAGATTTCCCGCTCTGCTAGCTTGCTTTCTTTATTCCTTTTCTTTGAATTCTTTTTGGTTTTTTTTTTTTTTTATGTTTTTGTGGGCTGCTTTAATGAAATAAGCGGAAAATTAACGCGTTTAATATTTGTAATTTATTTTGAAAAAGGGGCGTGGCCGCAGAGGGGGGTGGTGGCACTTGAAAGAGCAATTAATTAAATTTAATTCCCCCCATCGGCCCGTCAGCCCGTTCGTCTTCGTTCCGTTTGCTCTTTTGCCTGCTAAACTTTTTTGCTTATGAAAGATAATTGCTGGCTGTCTCGCTCGCACTCTAGCCGCTCTTTCGCTCGCTCGCTCGCACGCGTTGGCCCTATCTTTTTAACACTTTTTACAATAATTGAAAAACTTTTTTCGGCTGCTTTATGTGAACTTTTGCCTTCGGCGTCTTTAAACTTTTCTCCTTCTCAGCTCTTCCCCGCGATTTTCTTTTTCGTATTTACGTTTTTCTTTCTATTTTTTTTTTTTATATGTATATAATTCTTCTTCTTTTTTATTTCGTTGGTTGTTGTATTTCAGACACTTGAAAAATAAAAATTAATATGGTGCGAGGGAGATGGCGATGGCGATGGCATCTTGTCGGCTGATATTGCTGGCTTTTTCGTTTGATAAGAAAATTGCATATCCCTTGGAGTTTTTCACACTGCAATCCTGCAAAGAAGAGAGAAAATGGTTGGGCAAAAGTTAGCAAAATGTTTTTCCAGAGTATTTTCCAATTATGTATTAAGTGAAGTGCGATTAGTTAGGGGAAAGTTTTCAATCAAGAATTTTCAATATAACGTTGGCCTTTGGCTTTGTTTTTGAATTAAGCCAACATGATACAGTTTTAACTTTAGTTATTACTAATTAAACTTAATCATAGTTCTAATTTCGCTCACTTATCACAAATATTATGCAACTCTTTCTGCGATATTCCTCTTGCTCGCCAGCGGCATTAACTGTTAATACAATTTGGAGACTGTTGGAGACTGTGGAGATTGTGGAGATTGTGGAGATTGTGGAGACTTGGAATCGAGTGGCATTACCGCATCGAAAGCGAAAGAAGAACGAAACGAGAACGAAACGGTAAGAAAGAAGGAGCGCGGAGAAGAAGAAAGCAAGGTGGAGAGTAGGAAGAAAATAGAACATTGAGCAGATTACATTAAATTAAAGCACAAATGAATTGCTCGACGAAGCGAAAGCAAAGCAGAAAAAAGTGAAAAAGAAGAGATGCTGCTGGAAAAACGTGGATGCGAAATAAATAAGAAGTAAAGTATTAAAAAATGAGCAACAATCAAATACAATGGCTGGCGGAGATCATAGTATGAAGGTTGTGCTGGGCTGGGCTTTTTTCGGTTAGGGGGGGTGGGGGAGTTGAGAGGCCTGTGGAAAATCACGCACATCATCATCTCGGCGGAGGGTGAAAAGAAAACCCAAGAGGGGGTGGAGGTGGTTTAGGGGGTATAACAACAATGAGGCTGCCAGCCTGACTGACTGCCTGCCTGCTTGCCTCGCTTGCGGTTAGGTCAGACTGAGGAGTAGGCCCGACGATGCCAACGAGTCAACAAAAGAAATTGCTAATGTGCGCAAATAAAAATGGCACAAAAAACACACACACACACACCCATCCATACACACACACACAGTCGGTATTAGACAATTGAAATTGAAAATCAGTGAAACCTGTTTTCACACACAAAAGCTCACGCACGCCAAGCTTAGGCGCACAAAATTGCAAAAAAAAAAAAAAGAAAGAAAAACTTGAGGGAGGGGAAAAAACAAAAACGAAATGAGAAAATGGCAAATAGAAAATGGAAAACAAAAGAGGAAAAACCAATGCAGAGACACAGAGCAAGAGTTGGGGTCAAAGATGAAATGCACTCGAGGCGCCGAAAGGAAAGGAAGGAAAAACATTATATAAATTGTCAACAGCTTAAAGGAATTTTAATAAGGCGGAAAATGAGAGTAAGTAAAAAGGTAATTTCTTAAGGAATTTTCAAATAAGGCTAAATTATAAATACTAACAAAAAGAAAAGGAAAACTCTTTGGTTATTAGAAATCCCTTTAATGTGAAACTGCAATTTTCCTTTCATATTGCTAAAGAAAAAATCCATCTAAGCCCCTGAAAATCTGTTAACAAATCTCGAAAATTTCAAACATAAACATACCAATTTCGCCCATTTCCTTAGGCTCTGTTGAAAAATCACTTGCACGCCGCCTTCTGCCATGCAAGTCGATAGGAAAATGCAGGAAAATTTTTCAGAGAAAATCCCGACATTGCCTATGCGGGGCGATGGGCTATCATCGACATCAGTATTTAGCCCATGGCCCATCGTCATCTGCGACATTTCGCTGCGCAAATGAAAAGTTACGCGAATCAGCAGAAGCCGCAGGGAGCGCTGTGTGTGTGTGTGATGATAGAAGGTGGCATATTGATGGAGGGGCGGGGGGCCTTTCCTTTTTTTTCTTCCCTCTCTCTCTGTCTCTCTTTTTGGCCAGGCCGTGCACACCTGTCCGTTTTCATTACGCGGCAACCAAGAAATTGCCAAAGCCATTTTCGAAAATGGCCGCAAACACAAGAGTGGCTGGGGGAAGGGGGGGAAATGAGAAAAGTAGGGAAAATGGAGGGGGGTGACTGTACTCTTAGTACTCGTAGGACATCGTCATAACTTGAAATTGAAATGGTTCATGGGGCCAGAAGGATGATGGTGACCTGCCTAACGATCCAATCACGCGACCATCCCTAAGCCCGGCTCCCCCAGAAAATCATTTTTTGGATCTGGATTTATTGCACTCTGCCTGCCCGCTCACAGGCCAGAAACCCGCTAATGTTCGCGCTGAAAAGCTCTTAGGAAAAATCCAAAAATAAAAAAAAAATGAAAAGTAGAGCAAGGGAAAACCCAAAAGGGAGGCGGCTATAAGACATCCAAAGAAGGCACCACAAAATGTTTTTGGCCAATTGGCCACACGCGGCTCGGGCATCAGGTGCGCATTATGTCAGGAATATGAAATATGATAAAAAAAAAACAACAACAACAACAACAAAAAATAAGCAAAAATAAATATAAATAAAAATTTACAACAATCGAAAGGAGAGCCGGCAGACAAGCCAATAATAAATAAAAATAATGCCATAAAATATACTCCAAAGTAGGGAAAAGTTGCCAACAGCAGGGAAACTCAATTGAAATATTTAAATTTTGTTTCACATTAAGGAAAAGCATTTGGGCTCGAGGGTGAGGAAATAAAGCGGAAAATAAATGACAAATTGAAGAAGAGCTGGGGTGAAAAAGGAAAAGCGTTTCGTAACGGGAATTGGCTGACACCAAAGCTGAGGTGTAGTGAGAAAATCTTTGGGGGTTCTTAGAAAAAAATAATCAGGATTTTCTTGATTTAAAGAGAGCTTAAACCTTAAATACTTTTTATGTAAAATTATCCAAAAATTTCATATTCAGCATAGCGATAAAAATATAAAACACCTTTTGTGGATAAATATTTTCTATTTGAATAAAAATTTTCCACAAACATATTTTCTCTTGCCAAAGATAAACAATTAAGCCCGAAAAATCCGCATGAATAAAATGCCGAAAAACTTCCTATTTTTATTTTGAAACTTTCTGCTTTAATTTTGCACACAGCGCTCAAAGGCAAAAGCTTTTCCCTCTTTTGTATTCCGCCCAGACATAAATTGAAATATTCAATTGGAAAAAAAAAAATCCAACCAATTTCCCATTTTCCGTTGATTTTTTTTTCTTCAGCTTCAGCTTCAGCTTCTCTTCTTTTTTTTTTTCTTTGACCTTCTGCCATTGTCAACTAAATGTTGATGGAGGTTGATACGTCACCGACCCCGCCGAGCTTTGAGTTTTCCTCCGGCTCTGGGCAGCAACTAGTCAGCGAAAAATTTCCACCGTCCCATTTTGCCCCATCTTCACTGTTTTCCCGCTTCTCACCTTGATTCATCATTGTTTCGTGTGTTCTGGCTTTGATATGCTTTCATTGCGAGATTTGCGTTTTGCGAATAGGGGGAAAAATAGGGGAAATTGTAAGAGGAGGGCGACTTCTTTTCTTTCTTTCGTTTTTTTTCTGGTTGGTTCTGCTTTTGACAAATCGGGGCTAAAAATTCAATGGCTTTCCAGCGTTTTTCGCATGCACCGACAGGAGATAAAAAGGTGCCAGGGAAAATGAAAGACATTCTGGATGTGCAGATTGAAATTTTCCAGGAAAATTTTGAGAGATTAAAGAAGTAAAGATCGAAATTATATTCTTCAGTTATGTTTTATAAATTTTTCGTTAACTTAACTTTTTAATCGAGTTTAAAATAAAGGAAAATCCTACTAATAATTATTAAAAAAATCATAAAAATCACTTTTTTGGCATCTCCAAAACTCCAAACATTTCCCTCAGTGCATGGGCCATGAAAAAAAAACAGGTAGAGTGACTTTGCGGCGCCGCATTCGACTTGAATCAGCCCATTTTTTTCGCCCCCTTTGGGATCTTCTTGGCTTGGTCTTCTTTTAAGCCAGACTTTTTTACCCATTTTTTTCGCAAGTTCTAAGAAATTCCTCTTTCTTCGACTGATTCGTTTTTCTTGACGTTGTGACGACTTTTGCTGTTTCATTCTTCAGCTTTTCTTTGCTCTTTCGCCTTCTGTCTTCTGTCTTCTGTCTTCTGTCTCTCTGGGTTTCTGTTATTTGGGTTAAATATCCGAGTGAAAACTGTGTTAATGGGTGAAGTTTATATATATCTGCATATGGCCATATAAATATGTATGTAAACGGCTCGCAGTTTTCTAGCTGCGTTCGCATACGGCCAAGAGGTTTTGGCCAACTCAGCAGAGAGACAAGCGGAAGAGTTAACTGCAAAGAAAGACAGCAAAACTAGATAGCTTCTTCTTTCCCCCTTTTTTGTAATTTAAATCCCCAAATTGATCAAAGATAAACTCAAAAAACACATTCAAGAAAATACTTTGCTTGGATAAAAAAGAAAAGCGGAAAAATCATTTGCCTGGAGTAAAAAGTATTCGGCTGATAACATTAAGGTAATTCCGCTTGAAAGGTAAAATGGAAAAGAG